AAAAACATTAAACACGTGGTCTCGAAGACAAAGTCGTGGTTTAGGTTCACTTCAAAGTGAATAGTATTGAGATTGTAGTCATAAAATAAAATAAAACATTAGATCACTTACAGCGGGTCCAACGGTTCCATCGGTGATAACACATGCGATCATTTTGCACGCCATTCACCACTGATTAGCTGTTGATGTCTTTGACCACAACTGATGGTTATTGATGTCAACCACGCGTTCAATCTCTGATCCGACCGATTGGTGCCAAAACTGACTGATTGTCTCATCAGATAATCGATGTCCCGATGGCTGGTATTCACGTGAATAAGACTTTTGGATCTAATTTAGTGACAATTTTTTGTCTCAATTCACATATCAAACAACAAAAGGCAATTATACAGTAATTTATGAGTCAATTGAAAAATACATTATTAATCACTTAATCATATATCGCACACAAATACGGTTATGCATTATCAATGAGCAACTAATATTAATTATCATGATCAATTACTTACTAATACAGGCATGTTATTTAGGGGCATGTATTTAATATGTTTATTATTATTAATGGTTATTTATTAATTTTAATTACCATATATAGTATATTAATAAATGGGTAATTTTATCGTATGCTTTACAATTTTTGACTCATGGTATAACTCTTAATCTCACCATTTAATGACCCTGATACAATAAATATTAATTAGCTGTTTTAAGGGCACATTAATAAATTGTAAAGTTATTTTGCTCTATTAAAACTATTTTAAACTTATTATTTAAAGTTTAAAATACAAAAATATTAATTATATTTTTTTAATTTGATAAACTTTTATTGAAAAGTTATATTTATAATAAATGTTATAATGTATAATAATACTCTAATAATTACAAAAATATTTAAATATATAAAATATTAATTATATGAATGAAATACAAGTCTTATATTTTAGTTTATTTAAAAGTTAATTATATATCAATCATAAAATTATTTTAGATGCTAATGTTATATTTACATTATAGTGCCTCATACTTTACATTTTACAAAATTAATATTGCTAAATTGCTGTAAAAGTTGTGTTAGATTTGAGAGAGAGAGAGAGAGAGAGAGAGAGAGAGAGACTAAAATAATTAGTAAGTTACATTGAAATGTACTAACGTGCACTAATTTGACAAATTATACTGTATTGATAAATTTTGTAGTTAGTGCACATCAAGTCTAGATGTCCTAAAAATTGTTTAAAAAATAAATTATGGATAAACAGTGATAATAAGCCAAAGTTTTGTAAACAGTGTAATAAGATATTGTTGATATACGTTCACTTTTGTACTAATATCTTTTAATTAAATCTATAACTAATAGTAAATTCAATAATTAGTGCATAAGTCCATAAACAATATTGTTATTAATCAATAATATGTTTTAGTACAATCAAATTATAATTTTACTGTAAATATAAATACAGGGTAATTTGTTAAAAATAATTTAAGTAATTTTCTAGTTCCACAGTGAGCTTATTAAATTATAAACAATCGTTATTGTGTGTTTTTAAATTTAAATTGTATTAAAAATAATGGGTAGTGAATCGGTGTTGATTACGGGCGCCAATCGTGGCATTGGTCTCGGATTAGTGACCGCACTGTTGGCCAAAACAAACGGTGCGCCAAAGCACGTGATCGCCACTACACGACAGACCACTAATCCAGCGTTGGATGAGCTCCGGGACCGACACTCAAACCTACATGTCCTACAACTGGACGGTACGGACTATAAGGGTTTTGATGGCTTTGCCAAACAAGTGGCCGATATTGTGGGCGACAGGGGTTTGGATACACTTATTAATAACGCCGGCATTTATCTAAGGAAAAATCTGGATGACGTGACAGCCACTGATATGGTGACCAACTTTGAGGTCAATTCCGTGGCGCCACTAATGTTAACCAAAGCCTTGTTGTCTGTGCTTAAGGTAAATTAAATGGAATTGTGAATAACATTTTAGCTAATAGCTAACATAACATAATATCTACAAATAAGAATAATACACTATTTTAATGGCTTATTTAATTTTATTTACCAAGCTCTCGGCGGCTACTAAACGCAAAACTACCATAATTAATATAGGCGCCGGTCGAGGGTCTATTGGATTTTTACATCAAAGACAAATCACTACAAATAAGCCAATTGCCTATCCGTACTTTGTAAGCAAAACAGCGTTGAACATGATCAATAAATGTTTGGATGTTGACCTATCTCCATATGGCATACGGTCGGTGGCTATTCACCCTGGTTATGTTGCCACAGATATGAATGGATATACTGGGGCGCTTACAACAGAGCAAAGTGTGAGCATGGTGCTTCGTACGGAAAATAGCGTGGCCGACAGTGATTATGGCAAGTTGCTAAATTACGATGGTGCTGTAATGCCATTTTAGTTATGCTTTAAATTTGAAAATAAATTTAAACATTCTAAATTAATTGTATTAATTAAAAGTGTATAATTAGAAATATAAATAATAAATTTGTTAGTATTGCTCATATAAAATTATTTACCTAAATTCATATTTATAATTAAAATATTTGGGTAAAGTTTTAAGTATTTTAACTTATATATAAGTTTTAAATGCATGCGAACAATATAAATATAAATAATTAAAATAATAAGTTTTGAGTCGGCATTGATTACGGGCGCCAATCGTGGCATTGGTCTGGAATTAGTGCGACAACTGTTGGCCAACACCGGCACCGATGGCGGGCCCACACATGTGATCGCCACTACACGACAGGCCACTAATACGGCGTTGGATGAGCTAAGGGACCGACACCTAATCGCACGGATCGTATTTACTAGAACTCTAGTTCCGACACAAACACAACCTCCCGGTGCCGGGCATGAAGTGAACAGTAAAATACATGCCATGTCTAACCAGTTTGAGACCCGTTTCTGGCCAAGTAGTGGCTGAGCTTAACCAATATCTATTTTTGTCATTAATATAATATAACTTATAAACTACAGTAAATGTAACGCATAAACAATGTTTGCAAAATAATAGCATTATATGCGATGCATGTCGTGAACCATAATTAATATAAATCTAGTTATTGGCTAATATATAGACGCGGGTGTCGTCGGTAAGGGTGGTCCACATATGGCAACACAAACTGCGGGCGCCATACCGTACGGGCCATACAGCTCTTGCTGGCCGTGTAATCAACCGATCGCATCGCAACCCATTACTCGCGCGACACAAGTACCGGATCAGCAGGACTTGCAGTCCGGGCCACACATTACTGATATATGGGTTGAACAGTAAGGATGATCCGGTGGGCGGCACCACAACCACTGCCAGCCATTAAATAGCTGTTGACAATCGGGAAAAACAAAAACCAATTTATAGACATCGATATACACGCGTAGAGTTCATCAAATGATTGACCAATGAAACAAAAAACAGGTTAAACACAACAACAAGTGATGCAAACAATGGATAAAAACCAGTGAACGTATGAATGATTTCTCGGATCACATGATGTAAACCAATGGCTTTTCAAACATTACACGTCAACCGTTGGATCAAATCGATGACAACGCATACGAATCATATGGCCATCACGTGTGGAACAAATCATCAAATGCCACATTTGGTTGAATAATGAAATAAATTGAACACAAATTACACAACAAGTGACGCAAACAATGGATGAATAAAACGAAAACAATTGAATCAATTGTTGAATACGACGGCAAACCATGGATTCAATGAAGACACAGGCGATCGCTAAACGGGGGGAAAACTCACAACAAATACAACAAAATAAAACAAAAAAATTATACAAAAAATAAAACAAAAAAAAATTATACAAAAATTATACAAAAAATAAAACAAAAAAATAAAACAATAAATAATTGGTTTACAATAATTCCCAGTAATCTATAGAATTCGTTTCACATGTGACCGCAATTTTTGTCCACCCTATTTGACTATGCCCATCGTGTAGATCATAAAAAAGTAGGATAGGAATGTAATATCAAGAAAAAATTTTATGTTGGAATTTTCGAGATATTGCCGTCGGGAAAAAACCCTCCCCCATATACTTCCCCCATAGAAAATTCAAAAAATGCGCTTAAATGTGTTACGGCTAACACTTGATGATTCATGATGATATATAGACTCATCAAAATTATGAATTCATATTCATAAATAGTAATTGAACTTTGATTACTGGGCGCGTCGATTGTACACTTGTTTACAATAAGATAATAAATTGTTTGATGTGTGATATCGATAGTGAGTCTTGTTATCCTTGTGATCATGAATTACATGCAATACATCCACTCTTTTATAATGTCTTCAGTGGTGTTTACTTTAACGGCGAAACCTCTTGAGATGTGTGTCTACTTCTGTGGCGGATATCGAGTAACAGTTGAATGAGTTATGAATCCATTAATTCAATGCTTTGGATCATTATCTGAATCGATAAATAGTAAACAATTAAAACATGGCTTAAGTTGTAGTCTCAGAACCTAACACATACTCATCGCAAGTGTTGTCCACCGATTGGTTGTGTTGTGCGGCACTGGAAGTGGTGGTGATTGTCGGCCATAGAAGGGTTGGGCCACCACTGGTAGATGTTTGTCCTCTTTGGCGGATATCGAGTAACAGTTGAACCCATGATATGTTCAAACTCTGTATCTCTTTGTGAGTTTCAATTGTCTTGAGTCCAGTATCTGATGGCAAGTCTGGCGATGGCTTGCATTGAGACAACTGTTCAAATAAGTCGAGTCTTCTCTCCAATACTCATGTCTTGAAATGGTTTGCATCTAATTTGTCGCCAAATGTAATACCAATGCTCTCATCAGTGAATCCTTTAAACCAACAAAAAAGTTAAGATTTGGTCTCAAAAACAAAGCGATAGTTCACTCACTTCTCAGTCCATAATTGGCTGTCATCTCATCGGCGCCGATGTTATGGCCAGTGATGGCCAACAGTTAAGCCACACTCGCCGACCACTGACCAGCCAGACCGCGAAGCCATAGTCATTCAATAGTGAACTCTCATCGTGCGGGGTATACTAGTCTACTAACCATTGTGTTCAACGTCAACCCCTTTCTCACGTGATGGCCAGTGGTCTACGAGTGTGGCCAACAGTTGACCCACTAATCCATGCATTCATTCAATGTTTTTGAGAGTCAATGTTATAGTGTTGTTGGCCTGTCATCTGTGGGCTATCGTCGACTGGTCTCTTGCATCGGTTGAGAGCTAAACAATCGATGCTCTGACCATCGGATCCTTTAACACAAACAAAGTTAAACATTTGGTCTCAAAGACAAAGTGATGGTTCACTCACTTCTCAATCCGATGTTATGGCAAGTGATGGCTAATGTATGGCCACTGTATGGCTAACACTCGCAAACCGCCAGCCAATCACGTGCTCCGGTCTATAGCTTACTAACGAGCGTCTTCGGCATCAACCGTACAACACGTGATGGCCAGTGATCTACAAATGTTGCCAACAGTTGGCCGAGTAGTCAATCCATTAATTCAGTGCCAATTGACAATAGACTGAAACCGGTTTAGCGATGGATCAGATGCTAAACCAACGGCCGGTCGGTTGAGACTGACAGTCATCTCGTTCTTTACATCCAGTGATGTCTTCGGCGGTGTTTTGTGCGGTTCTGACCGTCGGATCTATTGAACACAAAAAAAACATTAAACACGTGGTCTCGAAGACAAAGTCGTGGTTTAGGTTCACTTCAAAGTGAATAGTATTGAGATTGTAGTCATAAAATAAAATAAAACATTAGATCACTTACAGCGGGTCCAACGGTTTCATCGGTGATAACACATGCGATCATTTTGCACGCCATTCACCACTGATTAGCTGTTGATGTCTTTGACCACAACTGATGGTCATTGATGTCAACCACGCGTTCAATCCCTGGTCCGACCGATTGGTGTCATAACTCACTGCTTGTCTCGTCGGACAATCCGATGTCCCAATGGCTGGTATTCACGTAAATAAGACTTTTGGATCTAATTTAGTGACAATTTTTTGTCTCAATTCACATATCAAACAACAAAAAGCAATTATACAGTAATTTATGAGTCAATTGAAAAATACATTATTAATAATTTAATCATATATCGCACACAAATACTGTTATGCATTATCAATGAGCAACTAATATTAATTATCATGATCAATTACTTACTAATACAGGCATGTTATTCCGGGGCATGTATTTAATATGTTTATTATTATTAATAGTTATTTATTAATTTTAATTACCATATATAGTAGTAATGGGCATCCCCCTAGCGGCGTTCAATAAAAATTCTTCATTTAATTTTCATACAGTGTACTGTATAAATTATATATCGATTAGGCCCCACACATGTATGAAACTGAACAAGGTTAATGAAAATGGAACGCGTTCCACTTTTGCCCAAGCAAAATATATAGTATATTAATAAATGGGTAATTTTATCGTATGCTTTACAATTTTTGACTTATGGTATAACTCTTAATCTCACCATTTAATGACCCTGATACAATAAATATTAATTAGCTGTTTTAAGGGCACATTAATAAACTGTATTTTGCTCTATTAAAACTATTTTAAACTTATTATTTAAAGTTTAAAATACAAAAATATTAATTATATTTTTTAAATTTGATAAACTTTTATTGAAAAGTTATATTTATAATAAATGTTATAATGTATGATAATACTCTAATAATTACAAAAATATTTAAATATATAAAATATTAATTATATGAATGAAATACAAGTCTTATATTGTAGTTTGGTTTATTTAAAAGTTAATTATATATCAATCATAAAATTATTTTAGATGCTAATGTTATATTTACATTATAGTGCCTCATACTTTACATTTTACAAAATTAAATTGCTAAATTGCTGTAAAAGTTGTGTTAGATTTGAGAGAGATGAGGGAGAGAGAGAGAGCGCGAGAGAGAGACTAAAATAATTAGTAAGTTACATTGAAATGTACTAACGTGCACTAATTTGACAAATTATCCTGTATTGATAAATTTTGTAGTTAGTGCACATCAAGTCTAGATGTCCTAAAAATTGTTTAATAAATAAATTATGGATATACAGTGATAATAAGCCAAAGTTTTGTAAACATTGTGATAAGACATTGTTGATATACGTTCACATTTGTACTAATATCTTTTAATTAAAGCTATAACAAATAGTAAATTCAATAAATAGTGCATAAGTCCATAAACAATATGGTTATTAATCAACAATGTTTCAGTACAATGAAGTTATAATTTTATTGTGAATATAAATACAGGGTAATTTGCTTAAAATAATTTAAATAAGTTTTCTAGTTCACAGTGAGCTTATTAAATAATAAACTCTTATTATTGTGTTGCTTTTAATTTAAATTGTATTAAAAAGAATGGGTAGTGAATCGGTGTTGATTACTGGAGCTAATCGTGGCATTGGTCTCGGATTAGTGACCGCACTGTTGGCAAAACATAACGGCGGGCCCACACACGTGATCGCCACTACACGACAGGCCACTAATCCTGCGTTGGATGAGCTCCGGGACCGACACTCAAACCTACATGTCCTACAACTGGACGGTACAGACTATAAGAGTTTTGATGGCTTTGCCAAACAAGTGGCCGATATTGTGGGCGACAGGGGATTGGATACACTTATTAATAACGCCGGCATTGCGTTGACTGCAAAACTGGATTCCGTGACCGCCGACGATATGGTGACCAACTTTAAGGTCAATTCCGTGGCACCACTAATGCTCACTAAAGCGCTATTGCCAGTGCTTAAGGTTAGTTTATATTTTAATTATTATTATTCAAATAATAATTTATTGATTTTATCCAAATCTAATTAAATTTTATAACATTTTAGCTTATTTTTGAATTAAAAAATTTTAACTTTAAATGTAACTTGTTAATTCAAAATAGTAATGTATTTGTATTTATTATACAGCAATCGGCATCAACTAAGCGCAAAACCACAGTGGTTAATATTTCATCCCTGGCAGGGTGTATTACACTTATACACAAATTCCCATTTGGTATGCTTTACCCATATTTTACGAGTAAAGCGTCACTCAATATGATCACAAAGTGTCTGTCCGTTGATTTGACCGCACATGGTATTAATGCTGTGGCCGTACACCCGGGCCACGTGCAGACCGATATGGGCGGTGAACGCGCAAAGATTACTGTGGAGACTAGTGTTAATGGTATACTGAATGTGATCGATAAGCTGACCGATGATGATGCTGGCAAGCTAATTAGCTATGATGGCACCGTCATGCCATATTAAATTAGTTGTTAATGTCATATTTTGGTTTTATTGTAATCAATATTTTTAATATGTTTGAATGAAATAAAATTCAAGAATTTTGCAAATTAAATATAATATGCATTTGTTATTTAATTCTTATTTAATTTGTTACAATATTAATTACTTAATTATAGTTTGCACACAAATACTGTTATACATTATCAATATAATATATTGATAAATGGGTAATTTTATCGTATTATTTATCAATGATATTACTCTTAATCTAACCATTTAATGTCTCTGATGCAATAAATATTAATTAGTTGTTTTAAGGGCACATAAATAAATTATATTTTGGTTTAGTTTATTAAAAGGTTAATTATATATTAATCATAAAATCATTTTAGATCCTAGTATTATATTTTACCAAAGTGCCTTATGCTTTACATTTTACAAAATTAATTAATTTGTAAATTAAAAGTTATAATTATTATAATGTAAAGATATAGATTTTCAAAAAATATAATTATTTATTTAACTTATACTAAACTTTATTATTCATTATAAATAGTTTGTTTGTGTAGATTAAATAAATGAAAATTTCCATGATCGTATGTGTGAAGAGTAATAACATAAATAATTAATCTAATGGTTGGATAAAATGTAGATAATTTTGTTAGGAGAGAGAGAGAGAGAAAGAAAGAAAGAAAGAGA